GCGAGTCTGTGCAGAGTCTTGGGTGTGCCTGCCGAATGGGCGGCGCCGAAGGATTCGTGATTTCACGGTTGTGATTGTGCACAGCATTCACGAGTCACGAGTCACGAGTCACGAGTCACGAGTCACGAGTCACGAGTCACGACTCAATTCGCATTCAAGGTGCACATGTAGCACGTATCGCGCAGTCAGTCCATCCTACCTATCGCTACGCCTCCAACCTCGTCATCTCGTCCCCATCCACCCCGATCCATGATTCTTCTTGCACACCAAAAGATACCAGCAAGACGTCTTTCACAAATTTGCTGATCCGATCAATCACGAACCTAGGTGCTGTGCTTCGGGCAAAGCAACCCTTATAGGAGAGAGAGGCAGAGCTCTCTCATTCTGTCTCGTCTCGGAAGCCTACTCCGCTGCAGTCGGACAGGGAACGGACTGAAGCAGCATTTCGCTACAACCAGCAGCTTCATAGCGAAGCATCTGGCGCGGCACGTGTATCAAGTCTCACACAGCTCTCTTAGCCCATTGGCCCGAGATGTCGACCCCGACCACCGCCGAGTTCGGCCACCCGCTGCGCAAATTCAAGGTGAGCATCTCCTTGCCAATCTGCTTCAAAGCCCATATTGCACAGCTCCGAAAGAGATCAGGACATTTTTCGAGATGTTAGAATGGAGTGGTAGCATAGACCGGCATGGATTGAAGAAAGTGCAGTGACGAGGGAGAGAAGGATATGGCATCGCCGCATCTGTGTGCTGGCCAGAGGCTTGCACTTCCGGCACTCAGCAGCTTGTCAGGATTATCAGCGTACGCGTAAAGAACTTGGATGTCAAATGGCCGCAGACTCTTCAAGGACGTTGGTGGACGGGCAGCCAGGTCACCAAGCTTACGAGACACTTTGCCTTCCCGCTTCTCTAGCTTGTCTTTTTGGGCGAGCAGAGCGTGGGCAAGACATCCCTCATCACCAGATTCATGTACGACACTTTCGACAACACATACCAAGCGACTATCGGCATTGACTTTTTGTCCAAGACAATGTACCTCGAGGACAGGACAGTCAGATTGCAACTGTGGGATACTGCTGGACAA